TGACTTTCTTTTTGTATATGAGGAAATGGAAGATCAGAGATGTTGAATGACTGATCCAGGGTCACACAGCCAGAAAGAGGCACCTCAAACATTCGAACTGAGGTTGTCCAACTTTACAGCTCCTTCTGTTTTGGAAATGGGAGTTCTACCAGAGCTAGTCTGTGGAGGAAGCATTGAGTGCCTTCTGCCAGATGCAGACAGACATTAAGTGCAGAAGCTGTGTGAAGCCAGCCAGGGCTTCCCTTTGCTTCCTTTCAGGGAGAAGGAGGTGGCTGAGAACACAGTAACCAGTGGAGCCAAAGGGAGGCCCCAGCCAACCAACAGAGTTAAAATGAATCCTGTGGCATCTGACAGGTAGGGGGAAAATCCTTTGATGCAGCAATCACACTACTAGGCATTTATTTAACATAGGCACATGTGAGGGCAAAGCTGTGGTATATGTGGGAAGTCCATGGAACACTGCGTGTCAGAGCAAAACTGGACACAGCCTAAGTGGCCAGCAAGAGGGGAGGGATCGAACTTCTCACAGGACCCAGTTGCAGAAGAATACAGGGGTTAAGCATGTAAGTCCCTAATCGTGAGTGCAAATCCTAACCCTGCCACTTTCTAGCTGTGTGACTTGGACTTGATGTATATAATACAGTCTCTTTTGTAAGGAACTGAGAGTGAGAAATAAAAAGCTTTGCTTATGGGAGATCCACGCGAAGCGTTGGTGGGTGGCTGGGCCTGTGGGTGGCAGTTACCCGGGTCCGGACCCGGTGGCCGGCTTCCTGAGTTGGTGCCGGCAGGTGGGGCTGGAGCTGAGTCCCAAGGTGACGGTGAGCCGGCAGGGCACCATGGCCGGCTACAGTATGGTGGCTCCAGAGGATGTGCAGCCCGGAGAGCTACTGTTCGCGGTTCCGCGGGCCACGCTCTTGTCGCAGCACACCTGCTCAGTCGGCAGCCTGCTGGAGCGAGAGCGAGGGGCGCTGCAGAGCCAGTCAGGTTGGGTGCCGTTGCTGCTGGTGCTGCTCCACCAGCTTCAGGACCCAGCTCACACTGGAGGCCCTACTTTGTGCTCTAGCCTGAGCTAGGCTGCTTGGAGCACCCCATGTTCTGTTTTCAGGAACCACTGGAGGAAGATGATGATGAAAAGGAGCCAAACTGCCCTTTGAGGGTGCCTGCTGCAGACATACTAAACCACTCAGCCAATCACAATGCCAATCTAGAATGCTGTGCAGATTGTCTTCGGACGGTGGCCACTCAACCCATTCCTAAAGGCCATGAGATTTTCAACACTTACGGGCAGATGGCTAATTGGCAACTACTTCATATGTATGGTTTTGTTGAACCATATCCTGACAACACAGATGACACAGCTGACATTCAGATGGTGACAGTTCGTGAAGCAGCATTGCAACGAACAAAAGTTGAAGCTGAAAGGCTCCGTCTGTTTGAACGCTGGGATTTTTTTATGCAAACTGGAGATGGTAGGGGAAGAGGGAGCCTTTGTGATTGGGTGGGAGGAGGTGCTGACTGAAGAGGAACTGACTACCACCCTCAAGGTACTGTGCATGCCCGCTGAGGAGTTTAGAGAGTTTAAAGACCAGAATGGACGGGGAGATGATAAAAGGGAAGAGGAAAGCCTGACCATCACAAGCATCCCCAAGCTCACAGCATCATGGAGACAACTGCTTCAGGACAGTGTTTTGTTGACCCTGCAAACCTACACCACAGACTTAAAATCTGAGCAAGAATTGCTGAGTAATAAGGAAGTCTATGCCCAACTCAGCTGGAGGGAACAGCAGGCCTTACAGGTTCGTTATGGTCAGAAGATGATCTTACACCAATTGTTGAAACTAACAAGTTAGCAGGTTCCCTGAAGGAACATCCATGAGAACTTTATTCCAGGCTAATATTCACTGATGGGTTGAAATGAAAGAAAACTTGGATTTTTTGTTTTGCTTACCATATTAAATACCAAAAGGAAAAGTAGCAAAGGTGGTATGCTAGGATTGACTCAGAGGTAAGGATGGTATGTTTAGAAGCACTGGGAGCACTTGGGAACTTGGGAGTAATTGCTAATTGTTAACTAAGACCAATAAATTTCATAGCCCTAAAAAAAAAAAAAGCTTTGCTTATGCTTATGATACAATTTCTGACAGGATACTTAGTGAGTTGAGTCATGTCCCTGCAAAATTCGTGTCCACCCAGACCCTCAGAATGTGACCTTACTTGGAAATGGAGTCTTTGCAAATGTAAGCAGGTGAAGATCTGAAGATGAGATCATCCTGGATCTAGGGTGGGTGCTAAATCCAGTGATGTGTTTTTATATGAGAAAGGAGAGAGAGGGATTTGGACTTACACACACAGAGAGGAAGGCTGATGTGAACGGAGAGGAAGGCATTGGAGTGGTGCGCCTACAAGCCAAGGGATGCCAGGGAATGCTGGCAACCGCAGAAGCAAGGAACGCGTTCGCCCTCAGAGCCTCCAGAAGGGACCAGCCCTGCTGATTTGAGACTTCTGCCCTCCAGAACCACAAGAGTATAAATTTCTGTTGTTTTAAGCCCCCTAGTGTGGGGCATGATGTTATGACAGCCCTAGGAAAGTAATACAGATACTGAAAAATGAACCCTGGCTATGTTGGGGGTGTGGCTATGATGTTTATAGCTTTCTAGATTTTAATGTTTCTCATTGCTTGGATGTTTTAAGACCATGAAACTGTATCATTTTTATGATTGAACATAAAGTTCTATCAGAGACTCGGAGTTCCATGCAGGCCAAAGAAATGGTGTGAATAACAGGGTCAGGGTGGGGGCAGGGCCCACGTGAGCACCCAGAAGCAAGCAGGTCTCCCAGCCGCCCTGCAACCAGTCATCCCACTTCAGACCTGCTCCCTCCGTGATGCTCGCCCGGCTTCCGGCTCTCACCGCACCTTACACCTGGTGTCGCAGGTGAAACTTACTCCTCCACCATGAAGCCCAAGCACTCTCAGGCTACTCTGGCCTGTCCTTCCCACCTGTATCCCACCTTGGGCTTCAGAGCCTTAACCGGCACACTTGTGGAGAAGGCAAAGCCCCTTGGAAAAAAAACAAAAACATTTTTTGAGAAGGTAAAAACCTACCATTTGATTTCAAGTCTCCCAAGTCCTGCTTGCATACATACATCCAAATTGCAGAAGAAGTTTATTTGCTGGTTATGGCTTGAATCTTGGAATATAATTCTACAGTGATGCAGCTGATTGAAAATGCTCGTTATTAATTCATGCTAGCCCATCAAAATATAACTTGACATCATTGACATCATCGGTAAAAATGAATCATAGATGTATCAGTGAATTTCTATGAACACTTGAACTGCCTTCCCACCAGTTCAATTTAGCTTCCAGGTTCAACCACTCAGAAATAAGGATAAAATGAAAGGGTTGCTTATGTAAAGTACAAAACATATAAATGTTGACATTGATAATACCGTTTATAATGACCAGTAACACTTACTGAGTGCATACTGTTTACCAGACATTGTTCCAAGGGTTTTGCAGAACAGAACTACGTGGTATTATTACTAACACATTTCCAGATGGACACTGAGGTACAGCAAAGCCAAGGAGCTGGACACCCAGGTCAGGCAGGGTGAGTAGTGGAGCTATGGCCAGACTATGAGCAGTCTGACTCCAGAGCACAGGCTCACCCACTGGGCCTTCCTTGGTGTTTGTTGAGTGACTGGATGACGACCTTCACGAGGGCTGGAACCTGAATTAGCATGGCAAGTAGAGAAACACATAATTCGTCGTCAGTGCTGGCCTAATTATTAATGGAGTGCTGAGGCCAGGCAGGGTTCTCTGTCCTGGGAGAATGGGAGAATGGGAGGATGGGAGATGGGTTTGATAGGCTGAACATCCTGCTTGCCATTAGGGAACAGAATGTGTGACAGAAAGGAACAGCACCACCTTCCTGCCCCTTATAACAGCGCAAGGGCCACGAATAGCTGAGTGAGGAGGAGGGAGGTAGCCAGAGGAGCCCTGCGCAGGCTCTGGGGATTAACGCTGATGGCTGAAGCCTGGGACAGGATTGGGTGGGCAGCACAGGTGCCTCCTTGTGCACCAGGATATCTGATCTGCATGCCTGCGGTGGGAGATGACAGCAGCTGGTGTGACCCGAGGTGACACAGGCTCCCCGTCGCCCTGCCTTAGCAGATGCCAGTATTAATCCTCTGTTAACACACCTTCCTGCCCAAGTATGTCCCACACGGCGCCCTCAGGAGTCACCTATCATCTCACCGCTGATGCTGGTGTGGCAGTGCAATCTAACCATTGTTGGGCACTCCCCCTGTGGCCAGCCCTGGGCTTGGCAGGGATTACCTTGCTGAACCTTTGAAACAAGAAAATGAAGTAGAGTCTCCTTTTCCCATTTCATAGATAGGGACAACTGAGTCATAGCGATCTAGTGGCTAATACTTAGCAAAGGCTGGGCTTGAACTTGGGTCTTGTCCTGACCTCCAAGCTTGTGCCCATACCAGTTACATCATGCTGCTCCTCAGAGCAGGGCCAGGAACTGGTGAAGAGCATGTCCTTTGCTGCCTACTCCTGGCCAGGGTGACCAACTGTCCTGGTTTGCCCTGGACTGAGGGATTTTCCAGAGCATGCAGCTTTCTGTACTAAAATTGGGACAGTCCTGCGCCAACTGGGACGTGTGGCCACCCAGTTCCTGCCTCTGCTGCTCCCAAGCTGATGTGGGCAAGCTGCTTAACCTCTTTGTGCCTTGGTTTCCTCATCTGTAAAATGGGGATAATGATAGTGACTCAGGTGCGTATAAAGCCTGGCTTGTAGGAAGCCTATGTGTATGTTAGTTTTATCGATTTCAGTATTGTGTTGGGGTTACCAGTTGAAAAATGCTGAGGCGATTTGAATGTGGCAGGCAGAAGCTGAGTCTGTGCAGGCAGGCAGCACAGGCACACTGCCCCTCCTTCAGCTGCCGCCTGGCCTTGAGCAGTGTTGTCCAATGGCTTGGCTCTGTCATCGGATGGGGCTAATGCGAAAGGTGAGGTGGTGTGGGTGAAGCCTGGGCATAGAGCCTGGCACGGGCCAGCCCTCATTCAGTCATGGTAGCTCTGACGGTTCTCAAAGAGCTCCCCGTCCTCATTGTCCTTTCCCAGCAAGACCCTCAGGCCTCATTGCGGAGTCATCAAGGGCAGCAGAAAGGACCAGGTTTGATGGCACAGGTTTCTTTCTTCCAGGGAGAAAGGGCTTCCTGACTCTCAGCCAACCGCTTCCGCTATGACCAGGTTGCGTCCTGCTCTGTGCTGCTCTGGGGGCCTTGGGGTCCACATGCTCTGTGGCTGAGTGGCCCTGCTGGCTTTCTTCTGGCTGTTAGAGAAAGACATTAGGGTGCTAAGTTCTGGGAGAGGCAATGCCCACAGGCAAAGATTAAGCGGATTTCCCATTTCTGGCCAAATGGTTGTAGATCTCCTTAATGGCTAGAGTTTGAGTCTATTTGAGGTAGTGTGCTTAACAGGGAGTGGTCAGATTATTTGTTCATTCATTCATTCCTTTTATTCATTCCTACCCACTGCCTGCCAGGCCCTGCAGAGGCTCTGGAAACAAGGCAGACAATACCAGTAATGACTGATGAGATTATAATTTTTTAACAACTCAAAATATACCAGTTTTTAGGGATGTGGAGATGAAAGAAGCAAATGTCTCCTACTGTGTATTAATTTAGTTATGGGTTTTTTAAAAACCATGTTCAAATAATATATTTAGAAATATTGCTTTCCCTCCCTTGACCGTCCCATTTAAGAAACATGCATTTTCCTCATCACTGTGGATGCCTTTCAAGAATCACAATAGGCTCAGAGCAGATCACCTTCATTTCCATCGATGCTGCTTGAGGCACAGCCCCTTTCAGAAGGCTGACATTACATCATCACTGTAGATTTTATTCTAAGCAACATGGACCCACCCAACATGAATCCCCTTTATAGCAGGAATCATTCCCTCCCACCACAATAGATTTTTGTTTTCATTTGGCCTGTATATTTATCTTTACTATGTCGGACCGACAAAGACTTAATAATATCTAACACTTGTAAATGGGGACTCATGTTTTTATGACTATCTACTAAATCTATGTAGATTTTGGATTAGCCACTGTTTCATAATCATGCCTTCACAAAAGTAGATACAGCTTTAATTAAGAAGTTAAATTTATGAACATCTTAAGATAACTTGAGAAATCTGTAGTAGAAAAGAATGAAGCCTACAAACTACAAAGATTTTTAAATGATTCTATCAAGTGACTCACAAATTTCTGTAACAATACTGATTAAGTCATTTCAGACTAATGTGTTGTTTAAAATGAGTAATTGAGAATGTGTCACTTTCCACACATGCTACATGAAATGCAAGGAACTTTTGAAGGCCGAAAGGGTGCAAACCACAGCCTGCAGATGGACTCCTTCTCACCCCCAAAAAATTGCCTGTTTTTATAAATAAAGTTTTATTGGAACATGGCCCATCTGTTTGTTTACAGCTTTTCTAACAGCTGCTTTCACACTATAAGGGAAGAGTTGACATCTTGGTGTGCCCAAGTCTTTCCATCTCCCTCCTAAAGGGGACAGGGCACTATACTCTGTCCCCTTTATAGCGGGAATCATGGTTTGTCATTATGTGCTTAAAAACAAAGTTCAACCAGCCCCTTAGGGAGTGTCTGTCCTCCCACCAGATGTCAGTCCCCAGGGAAGGGTCTTATCTGTTTTGCTCACTGCTTGTCTGGAACCTTGCCCAAGAGCTGGCGCTTAGCAGATGCTCAGTAAATGGCTGCTGATGAGGAGTAACTACCAGATGCAGATTCTACCTCAGGTCCAGTCTGATGTAGTGTTTTGGAGAGGATTCCGGGGCCCTTCTGAGTTTTAAGACTGAGTCCCTCATCGCTTTGTCTGTGTGAGAGAGTGACAGTGGCTCCCCCATGCCGTCACAGTCTTCGTCATCGTCCTCATTTGCTTCTTTCAGAGAAAGAGCCCTCAGGCCCCAGGAACTGTGCTGAACCTGAAATGGACAACTGTCCTTTTTGTCTCTGATTCTTAGTAAGTGGACCTTCTCCGTGATTCAGTCTTAAGTGGAGGGTCTTATTCGAAAGGGTTTTGAATGGACCCTGAGGCTTCCACTTGAAAAGCAGAACTAGGCCTTGCATTTCTTCTCCCCAGCTCCTGGTTCAGCATTCAGGGTTAAATGTCAAAGGAAGGGGTGGAGAAGCCTGGGGTGAGAAATGTATCATGCTCAAGTAAATAGAGAAGACCAGAGATAAAATAATAATAGTCTGGTGTCAGGCACTGCATTCAGGACTTTATATCCATTATTTCCAAGCCAGTCAACAATCCTGTAGACAGACATTTTGACTTTCTTTTTGTATATGAGGAAATGGAAGATCAGAGATGTTGAATGACTGATCCAGGGTCACACAGCCAGAAAGAGGCACCTCAAACATTCGAACTGAGGTTGTCCAACTTTACAGCTCCTTCTGTTTTGGAAATGGGAGTTCTACCAGAGCTAGTCTGTGGAGGAAGCATTGAGTGCCTTCTGCCAGATGCAGACAGACATTAAGTGCAGAAGCTGTGTGAAGCCAGCCAGGGCTTCCCTTTGCTTCCTTTCAGGGAGAAGGAGGTGGCTGAGAACACAGTAACCAGTGGAGCCAAAGGGAGGCCCCAGCCAACCAACAGAGTTAAAATGAATCCTGTGGCATCTGACAGGTAGGGGGAAAATCCTTTGATGCAGCAATCACACTACTAGGCATTTATTTAACATAGGCACATGTGAGGGCAAAGCTGTGGTATATGTGGGAAGTCCATGGAACACTGCGTGTCAGAGCAAAACTGGACACAGCCTAAGTGGCCAGCAAGAGGGGAGGGATCGAACTTCTCACAGGACCCAGTTGCAGAAGAATACAGGGGTTAAGCATGTAAGTCCCTAATCGTGAGTGCAAATCCTAACCCTGCCACTTTCTAGCTGTGTGACTTGGACTTGATGTATATAATACAGTCTCTTTTGTAAGGAACTGAGAGTGAGAAATAAAAAGCTTTGCTTATGGGAGATCCACGCGAAGCGTTGGTGGGTGGCTGGGCCTGTGGGTGGCAGTTACCCGGGTCCGGACCCGGTGGCCGGCTTCCTGAGTTGGTGCCGGCAGGTGGGGCTGGAGCTGAGTCCCAAGGTGACGGTGAGCCGGCAGGGCACCATGGCCGGCTACAGTATGGTGGCTCCAGAGGATGTGCAGCCCGGAGAGCTACTGTTCGCGGTTCCGCGGGCCACGCTCTTGTCGCAGCACACCTGCTCAGTCGGCAGCCTGCTGGAGCGAGAGCGAGGGGCGCTGCAGAGCCAGTCAGGTTGGGTGCCGTTGCTGCTGGTGCTGCTCCACCAGCTTCAGGACCCAGCTCACACTGGAGGCCCTACTTTGTGCTCTAGCCTGAGCTAGGCTGCTTGGAGCACCCCATGTTCTGTTTTCAGGAACCACTGGAGGAAGATGATGATGAAAAGGAGCCAAACTGCCCTTTGAGGGTGCCTGCTGCAGACATACTAAACCACTCAGCCAATCACAATGCCAATCTAGAATGCTGTGCAGATTGTTTTCGGACGGTGGCCACTCAACCCATTCCTAAAGGCCATGAGATTTTCAACACTTACAGGCAGATGGCTAATTGGCAACTACTTCATATGTATGGTTTTGTTGAACCATATCCTGACAACACAGATGACACAGCTGACATTCAGATGGTGACAGTTCGTGAAGCAGCATTACAACGAACAAAAGTTGAAGCTGAAAGGCTCCGCCTGTTTGAACGCTGGGATTTTTTTATGCAAACTGGAGATGGTAGGGGAAGAGGGAGCCTTTGTGATTGGGTGGGAGGAGGTGCTGACTGAAGAGGAACTGACTACCACCCTCAAGGTACTGTGCATGCCCGCTGAGGAGTTTAGAGAGTTTAAAGACCAGAATGGACGGGGAGATGATAAAAGGGAAGAGGAAAGCCTGACCATCACAAGCATCCCCAAGCTCACAGCATCATGGAGACAACTGCTTCGGGACAGTGTTTTGTTGACCCTGCAAACCTACACCACAGACTTAAAATCTGAGCAAGAATTACTGAGTAATAAGGAAGTCTATGCCCAACTCAGCTGGAGGGAACAGCAGGCCTTACAGGTTCGTTATGGTCAGAAGATGATCTTACACCAATTGTTGAAGGAACATCCATGAGAACTTTATTCCAGGCTAATATTCACTGATGGGTTGAAATGAAAGAAAACTTGGATTTTTTGTTTTGCTTACCATATTAAATACCAAAAGGAAAAGTAGCAAAGGTGGTATGCTAGGATTGACTCAGAGGTAAGGATGGTATGTTTAGAAGCACTGGGAGCACTTGGGAACTTGGGAGTAATTGCTAATTGTTAACTAAGACCAATAAATTTCATAGCCCTAAAAAAAAAAAAAGCTTTGCTTATGCTTATGATACAATTTCTGACAGGATACTTAGTGAGTTGAGTCATGTCCCTGCAAAATTCGTGTCCACCCAGACCCTCAGAATGTGACCTTACTTGGAAATGGAGTCTTTGCAAATGTAAGCAGGTGAAGATCTGAAGATGAGATCATCCTGGATCTAGGATGGGTGGTAAATCCAGTGATGTGCTTTTATATGAGAAAGGAGAGAGAGGGATTTGGACTTACACACACAGAGAGGAAGGCTGATGTGAACGGAGAGGAAGGCATTGGAGTGGTGCGCCTACAAGCCAAGGGATGCCAGGGAATGCTGGCAACCGCAGAAGCAAGGAACGCGTTCGCCCTCAGAGCCTCCAGAAGGGACCAGCCCTGCTGATTTGAGACTTCTGCCCTCCAGAACCACAAGAGTATAAATTTCTGTTGTTTTAAGCCACCTAGTATGGGGCACGATGTTATGACAGCCCTAGGAAAGTAATACAGATACTGATAAATGAACCCTGGCTATGTTGGGGGTGTGGCTATGATGTTTATAGCTTTCTAGATTTTAATGTTTCTCATTGCTTGGATGTTTTAAGACCATGAAACTGTATCATTTTTATGATTGAACATAAAGTTCTATCAGAGACTCGGAGTTCCATGCAGGCCAAAGAAATGGTGTGAATAACAGGGTCAGGGTGGGGGCAGGGCCCACGTGAGCACCCAGAAGCGAGCAGGTCTCCCAGCCGCCCTGCAACCAGTCATCCCACTTCAGACCTGCTCCCTCCGTGATGCTCGCCCGGCTTCCGGCTCTCACCGCACCTTACACCTGGTGTCGCAGGTGAAACTTACTCCTCCACCATGAAGCCCAAGCACTCTCAGGCTACTCTGGCCTGTCCTTCCCACCTGTATCCCACCTTGGGCTTCAGAGCCTTAACCGGCACACTTGTGGAGAAGGCAAAGCCCCTTGGAAAAAAAACAAAAACATTTTTTGAGAAGGTAAAAACCTACCATTTGATTTCAAGTCTCCCAAGTCCTGCTTGCATACATACATCCAAATTGCAGAAGAAGTTTATTTGCTGGTTATGGCTTGAATCTTGGAATATAATTCAACAGTGATGCAGCTGATTGAAAATGCTCGTTATTAATTCATGCTAGCCCATCAAAATATAACTTGACATCATTGACATCATCGGTAAAAATGAATCATAGATGTATCAGTGAATTTCTATGAACACTTGAACTGCCTTCCCACCAGTTCAATTTAGCTTCCAGGTTCAACCGCCTGGTGTCGCACGTGAAACTACTCCCGCTCGTTAAATGGGCAGTGCGCTTCAGCTCAGAGCCATGTGGGTGGCCAGCAGGACTGGTGATCCCACCCGTGGTTGAAGTCTGGTACTTTAAACCTGCAGTTCATGGTGATCCTTCTGTCCATGCAGAGTGACTAAGGACAGCTATGGAATCTGCAAAGGAAGCTAGAGATCACCAATGGGACAGAGAGACAGCGGGACCTGCCACCACGAGAGGGTATGCAGCCCTGTGTTTCAGCGAAGGTAGGCAAGCCCAAATTGCAAATTGCTTTATTTATTCATTTACCTCAACAGATGGTACACTTTTCCTCTGAAAAATCTTGTCAACATTTGCATTTCATTGCACTGAGGAAAATGCAAAGAATTTAAAGAAAACTATTGATTTCCAGGACCTCTCAAATGATTACATTTTTCAGAAGAAGCTTTTTCTATGATGCATCCCTAATCACTGATTTTTTTTTTCTTACGTTTTTCTCCCTTGATCGTAGGTGCTTAGAAAGGTGTTTTTATTTCTTCTTTTACACTAGTCTTCAAAAGTCTATTCCCAAAGCCATGTGTCTGACTCTGGGCGCCTCTGACAGCTCTTCAGATTCTCAAATGGTGCCCCTGTGAGCCTCCTCCCCAGAAGGATCCCAGACCTCGGCCGTCAGCACCCAGGCCATTTCCAAATGGTGTTGGGCATATTTGTGCCTCTGTGACTTTACTCCCTCCGCTGGGAATGCCTGTCCCATCTACTCTGCCCTAGAAAATTCCCGTTCACTCTTTGGGGCCCTCACTCAGTTTAAGTCAACCAGTGCATTCCAAGCTCTGGCCCAGGGTGTGGAACGCGATGGTGCTAATAACAAGACTCAGTCATGACCGTTCTGTTAAGCAGGTTTCATTGCCAGCAGCCATTTCAGAAATTAACTTCAGAGGGGTTACGTCACTTAGTCCGGACACAGGCAGAGAGGGCCAGAGGTAAGATTGGGCCCGACGTGAATGCTGACCTGCTTTGACTTTTTCCCCTTGTGGTACCCAGTTCCGGGTTATGAACATTCTAAGTTCTCCATAAATATTTCTTGAGGGTCTACCCTTCCTTTGTAGAAGAGGAGATTTGGGAGAAAAGAAAGTGAAATACTTAATTGTATATTGACTGAAGCTGTGTGGGTTGCTTACATTTCTCACATCATCCTATCAATAAACAAGGGAGGTGTTACTGTCTGAATTTAACAGATGGAAAAAGTAAGGGTCAGACAGGTGAAGTGACTTGTCCAAGATCACACAGCACATACATGGTAGAGCTGGGATGAAGGTCAGGTCCTGTGTGCTTACCCACCATGGCTTTTCTGCCTCTCAGGCTGCTAGAATTTCCTTGTTTCTGGAGGATGAGCTCAAGCCTGAGAACACGCTCTGCTCTTGGCTGTCTCAGAGTTGGAAGGAGCCAGAAAAAAAATCGAGTCTCTTTGTTCTATCTCAAAAGCAAATAATGTGGAGCTCCCAAATTTTGGCCAATAAAGGCAAATTTGTTATGGCCACTTCAGAGGAGGTGGAGTGGTTTGTCCACGAGGGGGATGCAGCAGGCATGAACCCCCAGAATGGCTAAGAAGAAGCCCAATTACTGTTCTACAGGGGATTCACACTGCCTTGAAAGGCCAGCAGGCACCAAGAGGAAACAAGCAAAGGAGCATTACAAATTCATTACAGAAGTTAACTGCTTCCATTTGTGCATGTGGCCGAGGCCTCCGTCGCCAATCGCCAAGTGAAGTGCGTAATTCCTTTGTGCATAATTCTGCCCTCTGGAAGCCAGGCCCTGGCTAGGCCACATCTCTTGGGAGCAGAGAGGTAAATTGCCTAAGACCAAGGATCTTGTCTGGGGAGGTGGTGGTTATACCGGTGACGGGGGTCATGGCCTGCCTGTCCTTGAAGGGAGTTTGTTACCTAGAGTCCCTAATGCTCTGGGAAGCCATATTTTGTGTCACGGAATCCCCTTTGTTACGAGGACAGGGCCGCAGTCACTCTGATTCATAGAGTGACCAGCAGCGATGGCCAGCAATTGGCTGGTGTGGCTTCAGTAGATGACCACACCCATCTGATTCCTGTTTGGGCAAATTGGACTTGGGTAAATGAGACCCTGGGCCAGGAGAGCGCTGAGCTGGAGAACCAGGAGGTAGCTGCTAGATCAGTAGCTGGCTATTTTAGGCCACTTACAACTGACATTACCAAGAGAGTAACTTCAGTACAGAACAAAAAACTGGCAGAGAGACAGAGAGAAGCAGAGATGCCATGACTGAGATTGTAGGGAGACAGTGAAAGAAGAAAGGCACCTGATGGGTTCCTGGTATCGCTTTCTTTAAAAAAAAATCCCCTTTTCCTAAAGGATACTTAAGTGAATCTGTTTCAACCAGTGGGATTTTAGGAAAATAGTGGCCATTTATTATTCAAAGGAACCTCAACACTATGTCCAGAGAGGCCAGGGATATACTATAAATGCCAGAGTCAGACTGGGTATAGAAAAAAGAGGGGGTGATGAAGCCTGAAGAAATGGAGCCCACCTGCCCTGGATAGGAGGAAATGCCTCCTGAGTTCCAAACTGTATTTGCCACATAAGAATGTGGGCCCAGATGACAGAAATATGGTTTATATGCCAACTCTGTAATATTTAAATGTTGATAACCAATTAAGGATTGTGGTGGGGGCTAGGTAAGCACACTTGTAGGTTTTTTTCCACCTTTTGACTGACTCTTGGTAATCTTTGCTATAGATTCTAGAATCTTCTCTACAGGTGAGTGGAATTCAGCTTCAGGTGTGTCTGTGAGGTACCCACAGGTGTTTACTGAAGAAGCAAAAGACAGGTTTTCAGGTATTCTTTTCAGGGCACAGTCTCTGAAACTGGTATTACTGTGATTTTTATTTTTGCCACTGAATTGCACTTAATTCAAAACTTTGTGGTCTTAGAAATGTTACTCACACATGGTGAATAGGATCCTTATGAAGTTGAAAAACATAAAACCGAGTGTCTTGACTACCCAGAGGCAGAAAGCTGGGCCTGCAATCTCATATTTGATGCATTGGTCTGTAAAGTAACCTGTTTGTTGTAAATGGTACTTTTTTTTTTAATTAACTTATTTTGCTTATTCGTACTTCTTTTTTGCTAACAATTTATAGGCTTACCAGTGTGCATCTGAAAGCATCAAGACTAATTTCTTTCCAAATCCTTCATTTTCTACTGATCTTTTTTCCATAACTTCCTTTTTTCCAGACCTGATTTAATTAGATTTTGCTTTATTTCCTTGATTTTGCAAAATTCTATTTCATATTATAGTTTATTTGCTTACCAACATGCCTGGGTGATGAAGTCAAGCAATCAGTCATATATGTAGACACAATCTGGATTTGTTTCTAGAAAAATTTAGTGATCAAGGTGTTATGTTCATCTGATGGCTTCCTTTGGACAGTAGTTCTAGGCTGAGGGTTTGGACATCATTTCTGAGGCTT